TTCGAACAATATCGTCAACTTTCTAATTAATTGTAGGATAATTGCCCGCACACGATTGCCTGGATATATGCGCAACAGGAAGAGGATCGTTGACAAGTGGCGAGCAAGTTTTATTATAATTTTCTCAAGCATGCAAATCCCTTAGAATTTTCTTAGAAAGTCGAATATCTTACAAATAAGATTAGGTTAACTGAGTAAACGAGAAATGGGATTAAAACGAAGGTTTCAAGAATTTGGAGTATTTTTTTAATACTCTCGTGCCTTTCCAGTTCAACTGTGATTTTCTATCTGCAACGTGCAAGAATTTCTAATACACCTGACTCGAGTGCTGATCAATCTTCAATTAAAAAACTTTTTCATTTAGAAAATTATATACACCTAATTTCACATGTATCGAACGATGATAACACTTCAATATCGTACACGTGTATTCAGTGGATTTCCCGAACATTTCTTAAAACTGCACAATGAACAGTCACAGTTCAATTACAACTATAAATTTCCTCTCCTCGAAACCGAACAACGTTCCCTTCGTTCATCGAAAAGAAACGAATTAGAGAGAGCCGGATGAATTGCCGCGTGGTCGTTCAATTAATTAGCACGGGTTCGTTATGTTCGCCAGGCGGGAAGCAAAGGAAATTACAAGGAAAGGACTGGCCCTTCTCTTCTCTTCTCTTCTCCTCTCTTCGTAGCAATTAAGCAACAGGGTAGAAGGAATTCGAGGTGAATCCGACACGCGAAAGCGAACGACGTAACAGAAATACTGAAGAAACCGCTTCTCCGCATCCGCTTCCGCAAGAGGGACGACCAACCACGTGGGAGAGATTTCATTGTAAACCGCGAATGCTAAGCTAAATCTTCGATATATCTCTGTCTCATCAACACAAGCCCGTGTTTATCTAGACGGTGTGTAATAATAAAAAGAGACCTGCACACTGTCTGCCTACATGGTCGGTCTGAAGAAAAATTGAAAAATTCTCTTCTTCAGACTTGCACAGACAACTGAAAATTGTGAACACAATGTTCGTCTATTTAATTCTTCAGAAAATTATCCTGTACAACGTAGCGTAACGATTCTTTAATAACTGAAAAGAGAAATAAGCAAATGGCATGTCTTGTTTAAAGGAGAAACCTCTCTGTGAATATTTCTAAAGGCTGAAGTGAAATTGAAATCTGTCCGTTGAATCTTTTTATAAATGTTGTTTGAAAAATATTAAATGAACGCGAGAACTATCTGAACCGATATATATTTGTTGCCGATGAAATTTATATACACGTCATTCGCATTCTTTATATATACGCACCTGCTTCGCGACAAATATAAAATCAGGCGGCGCGAGTCATTCTCACCATCGAACGCATTCTTCGAAGCAACCGGCGTGGAAAAATGTATATATCGCGCGTATTTCATCTTACCAACTGGCTCTTCTTCGAACACTGACTTCGATCGAAAGTCAAACGATGGAAAAATGCCAAATACACTACAGTAAAAAAGTATCGGAGTATCAAACCATCAAACGATTTTAGATTCACGTTAAATAACGCGGCACATTCACAGCGTATAATTAAATTAAATTAAATTGCTTCTACATCAATTTCAGACAACGTATAATTATAATTATAATTATAATTATAATTATAATTGGATGAAAATAACATTGATTAAGAAGAAAAATCATGTTCCTCGTGTAAGATTATTATTACACTCTTTCTTCACACGCTAATAGCAGAGATCGATAATGTTTCAGGTAAATCAGAAGAAACGGACGAGCAAAAGCATAATCGAGAAACAATTCTATAGAAAACGTAATTTAATTTTCTTGAGAAATCTTCCAATAATTCTTCGAGTGAATTCCACATGAATATTCAACGCTTCCAGTTCCGATACGCATTTATAAGGAAGTGTTTGGAACATCGGAGCAGAGAAAAGAAACATCATACACCACACTTTTGATAATTACACTTTGAAATTATATCTTTCTTTTACTCGAGTTTAATTTCACATTACTTTGGGAAGGAAATTCAACTGTGGTGAGAAATTCTAGGAATAATAAAAATTACTAGAGGAAAGGTTCGTTTACCTTTAGGGTAATTCTTAAAGAACGAAGAAGCCAGAATAGAAAGTTACAAAGTTATAAAACTATAAAACTATAAAGTCCGTCTTTGATGTAAGGCTACAAAATTTGCAAAGGTCTAAAAGTCTCAAAAAAAAAAAGAAAAAAATTTTTTTTCTCTTCTTCATACAAAGTTCTTCTCTGTAAAAGTCTAGCAGACTATAAAAAAAAAAAAGGTAAGCGCAAATGATATTAAATGGGCTGACAGATTTTTACGGCTGTTTTTCGTATATTAGTTGATAGCAATTAACACGAAGCGATGCTAGTGGTTCCGTGATCTCGATCACGATCTGGCAAGTTACCGCGTTTGTCGTGCGAACCTGACCTAGCGTGTTAGCCAGTTAAATTAAAACTCGTCGCGTTTCTCTATTACCAAGCCGCACGATGGATTTCCGAGCGCGCGGAACAAGGCATTAGCACCACGCGGGAAACCGAATTACTCAGCGACTGACAATGAGCAACTCCGCTAACAGCCAATTCGAGAAATCGAAAATTAACGTTAAAATAATTGCCGTGAAAAATTCTTGGAAATTATTACGACTTTCCTCCCATTCTGGATGAAAATCCAGGGACTAATTCGCGACTGGAATGGAATTCCACTTTAACACGTTCCGTGGCAAGCGATTTTTGCCTTTTGTTGTCGTTCAGGCCATGTCAAAAATGTTGTAGAAAGCACACATTGTAATTTAACACGTTCCGTGTCAAGCGATTTTTGCCTTTTGTTGTCGTTCAGGCCATTTGATATTAATGTAGGAAATGAAAAGATAGTTACGCCGAAATCAAGAAGTTCCGTGCCAAGCCATTTTTGCCTTTTGTTGTCGTTCAGGCCATTTGATATTTTGGAAGCCATTTTTGCCTTTTGTTGTCGTTCAGGCCATTTGATATTTTGACTAAAATGTTGATATATTATCACACAATCTTTCGTTCACATCATCAATCGATAAGTAGTTCTCTTGTGCACAATCTTTCATTAAATCATCAATCGATAATTAGTTCTTTTGTTTAGAGTAGCTATCACATCGTGTACCACCTGTGGTACACGTGGCGCTG